ATTCTTGTGGTATTTCATACTTGCTAGGATAACTTGTTAATTAATTTTAATTGGCATTTAATCGGATTAGATTAGCATAAGACCCTAATCACCCCCCCCCCCCCCCCCCCCTAAATGTCATATCCGAACTGTATCCGCTCCGATAACATCCCTAGTTGAAGGACGTGGGCCGTGATTAGGGGTGGTAAATGATCGAATCGAATACTAAGGTGTTCATGTTTGTATTTGTTTAAAATTATCGAATTCAAATGCGGACCCTAATATTCACATATCTAGTTTTTCGAATTCGAACTATTTATTAATTATTTGGTTCATTTCTACCCCTAGACGTGATCTGATATCTCCATATATGATTTTGTAAATTCATTACAAGTTTGGAACATTTTTCTTTTATGAATTGTTCTTTTCTCTATGTTTATTTTTCTAATTGTAGAAATCAAATTGAAAATCCTTCCGCCTGAATGAATCCTTTTGTTGTTGATCGTTAAAATCCTTGGTGCCAAGAGACTTGAAAATTTTAATTAGTGATGTGATTTATTTATGATTAGGAGTTCAAATGATGTCATTGTCATTTCTAGAGGAAAACGCCCCCCGTGTTGCTTAACGACTCGGCCCATTTATGTCCAAATTTATACATCTATTTCGGTTTAGAGTGCCCAAAGGCCCCCCTACATTAATAAATCCAATACCAGCATATATCTATTTCAGCTCTAGAATCCACTAATTATCCTTTTAAAAAAATGTTTTTTTACAGTAGTAGTCCCCTCAAATCTCTGACGTTATGAAACTAGTCCCTTCGAACTTGACCCCCGAAATCTTAAGTTAAGTGTTTTGAAATTAATCCCCTGATATCTTTATCTTTTGAAATTAGCCCCCCGATTTTTTCTAATATTTCAAAAATAGTCCAATTAGCAGCCAATTGAAACATTTAGTAGACTAATTTCAAAACATTTAAGGATTTTGGTGATTAATTAAAAAAATGGACTTAAGGACTAAATTCAAAACACTTATTGAAGATTTGGGGAATTAATCTCAAAATATCAACATTTGGGGAAATAATTTCAAAGATATGAAATACGTGGGGGGCTTAAATCTAAAAACCCCTTTAAAATTTAATAACTTCTTAAACTTTCACCTTCCCAATATGAAAACCAAATTGTCTAAGATGAGCGTGCCTTCCAACTTTTACCACCCAATTAGATTTTTAGCAACCTTTGAGCGCGAGCTTAAGCAAGTTGCTAGTGAGAGTGTAGTCAATTGAGTCATTGACACTTTTAATCATGAAAATTTTCAAAATTGATACATAATTATATATTAAAAAAAATTTAAAGTTAAGAGTGAAAAGAAACGGCGAACAATTCATTGCGGATTCGGTCTATTATGAAAACGACACCCCATCTTAGCAAAAACCACTAACCCAATTAGACTTTTGTTTTAATTAACACTAATCAAGCAAAGCCATTTCAAATGTCTTAGGAATTGCAGCGACAATAAAGCGATTAAGGGGCTGTTTGTTTTGAGTATTTTGCCTCGGGGAGGGGGGTGAAAAGCT